TAAGTAGACGATGTGTTCAATGTTTACACAGTGTACATGTAGACGATGTGTTCAATGTTAACACAGTGTACATGTAGACAATGTGTTCAATGTTTACACAGTGTACATGTAGACAATGTGTTCAATGTTAACACAGTGTATATGTAGGCAATGTGTTCAATGTTAACAGTGTAAATGTAGACGATGTGTTCAATGTTTACACAGTGTATATGTAGACAATGTGTTCAATGTTAACATTATAGATGCAGACAATGTGTTCAATGTTTACACAGTGTATATGTAGACGATGTGTTCAATGTTTACACAGTGTATATGTAGACAATGTGTTCAATGTTAACAGTGTATATGTAGACAATGTGTTCAATGTTAACACCGTGTATATGTAGACAATGTTTTCAATGTTTACACAGTGTATATGTAGACAATGTGTTCAACGTTTACACAGTGTATATGTAGAAAATGTGTTCAATGTTTATAGCGTATGTAGAAAATGTGTTCAATGTTTACACAGTGTACATGTAGACAATGTGTTCAATGTTTACACAGTGTATATGTAGAAAATGTGTTCAATGTTTACACAATGTACATGTAGACAATGTCTTCAATGTTTACACAGTGTATATGTAGACAATGTGTTCAATGTTAACACAGTGTACATGTAGACAATATGTTCAATGTTTACACCGTGTATATGTACACGATGTGTTCAATGTTAACACAGTGTAGATGTAGATGATGTGTTCAATGTTTACACAGTGTATATGTAGACAATGTGTTCAATGTTTACACAGTGTATATGTAGACAATGTGTTCAATGTTTACACAGTGTATATGTAGACAATGTGTTCAATGTTAACACAGTGCATATGTAGACAATGTGTTCAATGTTTACTCAGTGTATATGTAGACAATGTGTTCAATGTTAACACAGTGTATATGTAGAAAATGTATTCAATGTTTACACAGTGTAGATGTAGACAATGTGTTCAATGTTTATAGTGTATATGTAGACAATGTGTTCAATGTTAAGACAGTGTACATGTAGACTATGTGTTCAATGTTTACACAGTGTACATGTAGACAATGTGTTCAATGTTAACACAGTGTATGTGTAGACAATGTGTTCAATGTTAACAGTGTAAATGTAGACAATGTGTTCAATGTTTAAACAGTGTACATGTAGACAATGTGTTCAATGTTTACACAGTGTATATGTAGACGATGTGTTCAATGTTTACACAGTGTATATGTAGAAAATGTGTTCAATGTTTACACAGTGTACATGTAGACAATGTGTTCAATGTTTATAGTGTATATGTAGACAATGTGTTCAATGTTTAAACAGTGTACATGTAGACAATGTGTTCAATGTTTAAACAGTGTACATGTAGATAATGTGTTCAATGTTGACACAGTGTATATGTAGACAATGTGTTCAATGTTTACACAGTGTATATGTAGACAATGTGTTCAATGTTAACACAGTGTATATGTAGACAATGTGTTCAATGTTTACACAGTGTATATGTAGACAATGTGTTCAATGTTTACACAGTGTAAATGTAGACAATGTGTTCAATGTTTACACAGTGTAAATGTAGACAATGTGTTCAATGTTTACACACTGTGTATGTAGACAATGTGTTCAATGTTTATAGTGTATATGTAGAAAAAGTGTTCAATGTATACACAGTGTATATGTAGACAAGGTGTTCAACGTTTACACAGTGTGTATGTAGATGAGGTGTTCAATGTTTACACAGTGTATATGTAGACAATGTGTTCAATGTTTACACAGTGTATATGTAGACAATGTGTTCAATGTTTATAGTGTATATGTAGACAATGTGTTCAATGTTTAAACAGTGTACATGTAGACAATGTGTTCAATGTTTAAACAGTGTACATGAAGACAATGTGTTCAATGTTTACACAGTGTATATGTAGACAATGTGTTCAATGTTAACACAGTGTAAAAGTAGACAATGTGTTCAATGTTTACACCGTGTATATGAAGACAATGTGTTCAATGTTTACTGTGTATATGTAGACAATGTGTTCAATGTTTACACAGTGTATATGTAGACAATGTGTTCAATGTTAACACAGTGTAAAAGTAGACAATGTGTTCAATGTTTACACCGTGTATATGAAGACAATGTGTTCAATGTTTACTGTGTATATGTAGACAATGTGTTCAATTTTTACACAGTGTACATGTAGACAATGTGTTCAATGTTTACACAGTGTATATGTAGACAACGTGTTCAATGTTTACACAGTGTATATGTAGACAATGTGTTCAATGTTTACACAGTGTAGATGTAGACAATGTGTTCAATGTTTACACAGTGTACATATAGACAATGTGTTCAATGTTTACACAGTGTAGATGTAGACAATGTGTTCAATGTTTACACAGTGTATATGTAGACAACGTGTTCAATGTTTACACAGTGTATATGTAGACAATGTGTTCAATGTTTACACAGTGTATATGTAGACAATGTGTTCAATGTTAACACAGTGTACATGTAGACAATGTGCTCACTGTTTACATAGTGTATATGTAGACAATGTGTTCAATGTTTACACAGTGTAGATGTAGACAGTTCAATGTTTACACAGTGTAGATGTAGACAATGTGTTCAATGTTTACACAGTGTATATGTAGACAATGTGTTCAATGTTAACACAGTGTATATGTAGACAATGTGTTCAATGTTTATAGTGTATATGTAGACTATGTGTTCAATGTTAACACAGTGTATATGTAGACAATATGTTAAATGTTAACACAATGTAAATGTAGACAATGTGTTAATGTTTAAACTCGGTGTGTATCGAGAGTAAGTGTACAATATATGTATATGTATGTGTAGATAAAGTGGTCAATGTCTACACACTTTGTATATACAAACAATTGATCAATGTCTACAAACATTTCTATGTAGACAGTCTAACTGATTATCCCACGCGAGATAACTACATGTATTAGAAGCTGCCTTTGAACAGTCGAGGGCTTCTGTGTCGGGATACAGGCACGCTTGCTTCCAATGGCTAATCAATACATTACTTTTCAAAATATGCCATAAGTCGGCTGTCAAACATGATGTTTGAGTTACGTTATAATAGACGCAAATGTCTAGAATTTCTCCTAAAATAACTTCATTTCCATATAAAATTATGATGAAAGGATCCGCCATGGATGTTGTATTGTTATTCTAGCGGAGGCGCATGAAATTTCATACTAACGTATTTAGGGAGCACTGTGATAGATGGCAGTCTCGTTGTAAACAGTAATACCAGCTAATGGCGTTTCTTCAGCACGCTTTCACCATAGTCACGTGTGACATTACAGGAACGGACCGACCAATATTACATTTCCATTCTACCAAAATGCAAATGTCTACTGGAAAAGGGTGTTATGATGATAAAACATAACTTTTTCAGAATTCATATAATCAATTTTTATGACAAAAGCTATCGTCATTTGCCTTGCGCGTAGTGTCAATTTCCGGCCAATAACTAAATCAATCTTCCTATCCATTCTCACTTTTCGACAAATCAGAATAAAATAGGGGAAAAAATGTCTTCTTGTTGCACCAAATGGTCACAACTGCTAATGGAAAATCCAATGCCAGCATAGGATTCTTTTTTTTTTATATAAATTATAACGTGGATGATACAGCCCAAATCTACTTGGTATCAAATATACTGTTGTATCGTGAGGAAAATGGAATCCAATTATATATAAACATCAGCGGGAAACTTCCTAGTTACCATAGAAGCGAATTTATGATGAACATATAAGATATGTTTCACTAGCGTATGGATAGAATTTGTAGTAAATATCAACAATTTTGGATGGAATTTATAACAAATAGATAAAAGATACATAAAAGATATATACAATTTCCCTCTTTATCGAAGTTTACATTGAATCGCGCGTGCGTTCCCCTGGCCTTATCAAGGATAATGCTTACAAATCAGTCCCCTGTTTACATGGTATTCTGAAAATTGTTTCCATGTTCGAACAAAATCTATTTGTATTCACCATATTCCTGATCCTAGTCGCCGGATTAATTTGCTCAAGTGCTTTGTTCCTATAAAACAAGCAATAAAAAGCTAATACAAATCAAGTACACAAATTAACTTGTTCACTCGGAAACTCCACGAAAGTAAACGGTTCCAAAAGTTCTACCTTTTCAATCAAGACCTGCCTAGCTAAAGTCAGGTCCACGATTTGGTGTAGAAATTGTGTGAAGATATCTATATTCAGACAAGAACGGACACGTGACATCAACATTACTATAGACTGTAATGCATAACTCTCTTCTTGAAGTTGAAGATAAAAGTCATAGTGTCATAGTGTTTAGTATAACAAGAGGCCAATAGGGCCCGTATTTCTATCCGAAATAATCCTCAGGAATCACACCAATACATTTCTTCCAGAGAACACAACACAAAGGTGCACCGCTATTCTCTTGATTAGGTTCCCTCTCTCTCTCTCTGTCCCCAAAATGACCCAAATACAACAGAAGAGGAGTAATTTTAAAGCGTTTGCCCTATTTCAACGACTAAGCCCACCTCTTTGCAAAACGTTGGTCACACTCACGATTTATGCAAAAATGAGTTTACATTGGATGCTAAAAATCAAAGTTTGACATAATGTTTTAAACCCAACAGAAGAAAAGGAAGGATATAAAACGTTTCCTCTATTTGACTCCAACCCTCTGTCCCGCAAGAGGTCAAAACCATTTTTTTACAAACTTGAATATCCATCCCCCAAGGATAAGTCTGCCAACGTTTGCAAAAACATCCAGCCATTCCTACGGAAGAAGTCTTTTTTAATGCAAAATTTTCCTCGAATCGTCCAGCCAGAACTGAACATTTAAACAAAATTAGGTCCTATTTCCTAAAGATTGATAATAATAAAATTTTGTCTAAATAGTTTCATCTTAACAGTAAGTAGAAGGAAAGCAATTGTCTATACTTACACTGAGGCTTGTTTTCTCTGGATCCACTTTGGCACCAATTCTGTCCAAGCAGAAGAAAATAAGGCAGAATCCGATAAATCCCAATACCATGTAGGCACACATGAGCTTCCATACAACATTGAGATTGTCCACCCCTGAAACATAGATTGACACACATAAGGTTCCATACATCATTGTGATTGTCCAATACTGAAACATCAATAAGCACACAGAGGCTTCCATACATGACTATCAAGTTGAACCTTCAAAATGGTTTATTTTAAACATCAACTAGTTATGAATGTAACGCGGACCGTTACAAGAATGCCCGGGACTATTGAAGGTTGAATTAGCTGCATTGTCCGTAGTTTAATACAATAATTGCCTCACTATAACGGCCATTTAACACATCAGTTGCCTCACTATAACGGCCACTTAATACATCTGTCGCCTCACTATAACGGTCAATAACACATTCATCGCATCATTATAACGGTCATTCGGTACACTGCTCGCTTCTCTATGACGGTATTTTTTTCCAATCACAAAAAAAACGAATTAACACTTTTCAGTGTCGAAAAATACACCGACGTATCAAATTTGATCAACATCAGAGAGTACCTGAATTTCGACCAATCAGGATATGATACGCTGCTTTTTACCGTCTTATAGTAAGTCAAATAGATATTCTTTCCGTCAAAGTTTGACGGTTGCGAGAGCGCAGCCAGAAAGTTGGTCTACACAACCATAAGTAAGTATACTGTACGAGGTATGTGGATGAACGTTCCACATCGGCGGTAACTTGTGTTTCTCACGAAGCTGAGAAACGGACCGGTCTGTACTGACGTGGCTGTGACACAAACCCAAATTGCTCTGGAAAGCACGCGACGGGCCTTCCGTTTGTTGTTCAGTGAGGTAACCACAAGGAGACATCGCCTCAACATATCACGGAGAGGTAAACTCAACTAACAAACGACCAAGTTAATATTGCAAATTAAAACAAAGGTTATATAGCCAAGCAGATTTTCAGCTAATGAAAGCTAGGAAATAGTAGCCATACTGGATGACGTCATTAAAGTTATTTTTTCAAATCTAGAGTGGACAATTATTTCCCATGTAAAGTTTCATTAATGATAAATACATTTTCCACGAAAAAAAAGAAAGAACGAAGAACAGATTGAAATTCAATACGCCATCTTCTAATTGAAGTTTCATAATTATAAAAATAATAATTTTATGACATGGTAGTTTTGTAAGGAGAAAATTAAGAGTAGTGAAGATCCGTTTTCGTTTCACACACAATCACCTCCTGTATATGACTTAAATATTACCTCGGTGATCCTAGATACAGACCAACATTCATCAAAGCAATTATTTGGCATTGCCACCCACTTGCCGGGACTGTGGGGGATTCAAAGTGTTTTGGAATGAATTTAGTTGTCTCAACTGTCCTATGTTACGATAAGTAATAGACCTATACTATACACTAAGGATAGCAGAGTACCAGAATTTATGGGTTCACCTGTCCCCTCGTATTCCAAGAAATAATTACATAAGTGTATACAGTAAGTATAGTAGAATGGAACCTAGGTACTGTAGAATATCATATTTTCGTTTTCTAGCCAAAATAAGATTCAGCAATCTTGTGATATAGACAATAGGACAGTGATGCAGTATTTCTTATCCAAAAGGAGTGAAAAAAGACCAGAAAACAGGACTCGGGTAGGAAAGTGTATCTAACGTAATATTTCAACGGAATCAACAGATTATATGAATATCCACTGTTGTAATGACTATGATTTCTAGTTAGTTTTGGGCCTTTGTATCTTTTCTAAACGTGTGATATATTTTTGTAACCCCATAAAGTTTGCTTTCTTAGTGACGTCGTTGGAAGCAAAGGCGTCATATCCCCAAACACCATATACTGGATCTTCATTCATAATGCAAAAAAAAAAGTTGAAAAGTTCAGTAACCTTCCTATTGTTTGTTTGTCAGTAAAATTACTGCTGTTTATTTCGAAACGATGTCTGTCAGTAAAACCAATGTTGTTTATCTCGAAACGACGTCTGTCAGTAAAACCATCATTGTTTATCTCGAAACGACGTCTGTCAGTAAAACCAGTGTTGTTTATCTCGAAACGACGTCTGACAGTAAAACCACCATTGTTTATCTCGACACGACGTCTATCAGTAAAACCACTGTTGTTTATCTTGACACGACGTCCGTCAATAAACCCACTATTGTTCCTAACACGACGTCTGTCAATAAAACCCACTATTGTTTATCTCGACACGACGTCTGTCACTAAAACCCACTATTGCTTATCTCGACACGACGTCTGTCAATAAAACCCACTATTGTTTATCTTGACACGACGTCCGTCAATAAACCCACTGTTGTTTATCTCGACACGATGTCTGCTAATAAAACCCACTATTGCTTATCTCGACACGACGTCTGTCAATAAAACCCACTATTGTTTATCGCAACACGAAGTTTGCTAATAAAACCCACTATTGCTTATCTCGACACGACGTCTGTTCATGAAACCTACTGTTGTTTATCTCGACGGACGTCTTTGTAAACCTCTATCGTAATAGCTCCCACTATCTTGATATATCTTACAAAGGCGGGCGCGATACGCTTAAGAAACATGACAATACCCTTAAAGTTAAACTCAGGAAAAAAATAAACTTGAAATATTATAAGTATTACGTCCAGCTTCATATTATACAACGGAACCACCAGAAATACTAACGAACATCAAACACGCCCAGCTTCATATCGGACAACGGAGCCACCAGACAAGACATACTAACGAACATCAAACACGCCCAGCTTCATATCGGACAACGGAACCACCAGACAAGACATACTAACGAACATCAAACACGCCCAGCTTCATATCGGACAACGGAGCCACCAGACAAGACATACTAACGAACATCAAACACGCCCAGCTTCATATCGGACAACGGAACCACCAGACAAGACATACTAACGAACATCAAACACGCCCAGCTTCATATCGGACAACGGAGCCACCAGACAAGACATACTAACGAACATCAAACACGCCCAGCTTCATATCGGACAACGGAACCACCAGACAAAACATACTAACGAACATCAAACACGTCCAGCTTCATATCGTACAACGGAACCACCAGACAAAAGATACTAACGAGCATCAAACACGTCCAGCTTCATATCGGACAACGGAACCACTAAACAAGACATACTAACGAGCATCAAACACGTCCAGCTTCATATCGGACAACGGAACCACCAGACAAGACATACTAACGAGCATCAAACACGCCCAGCTTCATATCGGACAACGGAACCACCAGACATACTAACGAGCATCAAACACGCCCAGCTTCATATCGGACAACGGAACCACCAGACATACTAACGAGCATCAAACACGCCCAGCTTCATATCGGACAACGGAACCACCAGACAAGACATACTAACGAGCATCAAACACGTCCAGCTTCATATCGTACAAAGAGACAGAATATATCTTTGTGAGGTCATTATAACTACCACAACACATTATCAACCTATATCGTTTGAAACCCTGTGTTGTGAGTTAATCAGTCAGTTGTTTCCACGGAAATCCTGATATTATGAACAGTTGCTAGGAGATAGAATTAACTGTGAACTGTATTCACTGTAGAATGGGGAGCAGAGGTAATTCACTAAAATCGTCACGTTTATCATACAGCTTGGTGGAAAGCTGTCCCTGGTGGTTTCCTTGCAGGCAAATAATAGGATAAACGGCTGGTGTAGAAGGGCCTGTCGTATCCTTGGTTTCCACGCCTAATAATTCTTTAAATTAACATGACCTCTGACCTTTTAACTTTGACCACAATGAACTCGTTGAATTTAGAAATGAGCATTTTACGCCAAAAACTGTGAAGTGTGGCGTTTGACTTTTAACCTTTGCCGATGACCACAAAAATGAATAAATATAAATATGTACATTTGTTAGTGAGTCACCTGGTGCAGATCACGTGTTTAAAACACTCAGCTACCATCCCCAGCTTGTTCCGGTGAAGGAATGCGATCTCGACTCAATCAGAACAAGCCACGTTGACAATTTAATTAGGAGTAAAGGGAGCGAGTATGGCTCCGTTCAACATTTCACACGTTTTCAGCACTGCAACTTATTAAATATTCAATTACTACAGTCGAATAGATGTAAGGTAGCGTAACCATGACAACTGACTTGGTGTCCCGTTATAGAAAAGTGAGTCATATGGAATGAAACAAGACTCTGTGTACAGGCACGTGACATAGTTGTCCCGTACAGCAGGGTTTGCTGTGTCCTTCGTTAGGTGTGTGATCCCCCCTGTTTTTGTCGTTCATAATGTATAGACTGTGTTCATTTATATACATATAGATTATATAACACTACTGTATATTTTTTCCCTTTACGTTTACCAGTTACCTACATAGAGAAAACTTAGGTCTCTGTCGCTATACTTTAAAGGATATTTCGGACAAGCGGCAAACTTCAGCATGTTCTGTACGTGTAAGGAATCAACAGTGACACAATAAATACACTTGAAAAAGACCCATTTCTCTCGTTTGATTTATCATAAACATATACTGTAAATCCTTTATATTTTGCGTGGGATTTATTTTCGCGTTGATACCCGGAAAGAGTCGATCGCGAATTCAAATCCCTCGCAATTATTTGTGTGAAATTAACTCCTGGTTTGCATCCATGTTGATTCGGCGTCCTTCAAAATTCAGTTCTGTAATAGTTCACCATTCGCGAATTTAAATCATTTCTAGATCAGCAATTGCGAAATTATATATTCACAAATATAAATGTAGAGGTACAATGTAAGTCCGCGACATAAACTAATCGCGAAATCTAAATGACTTACAGTACTGCTTAGATACAACAATATATACATAGATACCGAATGACATGAAAGCTCGCTGGTATGTAAATCGATCAAGCTAGCTATATTCATAATTTTTACCAATCAACTATCGCAACAATTTTCTAAATGTCATGAGTAGATATGTTCACAGAAATAATTTTAGATAAAAAACAGCAATTGATGAAACCAAAAAACTCTTTCGGTCATTTTTTTGAAATCATGCGATAAATAAATCTTATGATTTATTTTAT